AGGGAATCATCAAGTGATCTCTCTACTGCCACCCATTAACTGCCTCTGACACACAGAATCTAGAGACATCTGCCCTACCCATCCTGGCTCATAAGTACCGATGAACCTATCCTCCATGAAACTATCTAGAATTTTTTGAACCCTGTTAAAGTCCTGGTCTGCACAACATCCTTTGGCAAGGAGTTCCACAGGTTAACTGTGTGTTGCATGAAGAAAAACTTTCTTTCTTTGTTTTAAAACATTCACCTATTAATTTCGTTTACTGAGCCCCCTAGTTCTTGTAGGTAGCTCTTCATCTAAGCTGCTTCAAAAAATGCAACAGAAGACCTTACATGAAGCAGCAGCAATAATCCAGCTGGGGCAATTTGCCATAAACACATCCCCTGCCACGATCAATGTCTATACAGCCATTGCACCTATTGGGAAACCAGTCCCATAAAGTGTAAAGTTGTTCTGATCTCATGCCGGTGGAGTTACTCTTGATTTACACTTGGCTGATGGGACAAGACTACAACCCATGGACTGACACAAAACAAAGATACTCCAAACCTACCTCAGCCGGCAGGAAAGCCTTGCCCAATAAGCGAGAGATGTCAGCTCAGGGTTCAGCGTCAGCATTGGTGCTTTCCAAAGCAGACTGAGTCAGATATAGTCTCTGTGGTCTTTGGGGAATTTCCTTTGTTGAGGTGAAAATCTCGTGTCTCTTGGAGCTTGTCGAAGGGAAGAGACTCGGGCAAACACGAGACAGCAAATTCACCACTCAGGCCTGACCGATAAAAAACCCACATGCCGGATGGTTCTGGTTCCTTGGTGGATCACGCCGCAGTACAGAGAAGAGAATTCGGCTTGCAGGGCAAATCCAGTCACACCCTGCTGGAATTTTCCAGCATGCCGGACTCCCTGGCCGCGAGAGACCTGGGTAGGGGAGCTGAGATGGGTGCCCATGGCACCAGGGAGTGGGCCAGCTGGGAAGATAAGAGTTGGACCACCCAGCAAGGGGACAAGCTAGCTGAGGGATGGGTGTTTCTAGGAGCTAAGCAACTCAGGAACCCAGAAAGGCCGGGCAGAGAGCGGGAAGCACTGGGTTCCAGCCGGCCAAGGAGGGTGGAAAGGGGAGCCCTGTGAGAACAGCAGGAGATCCTAGGAGACTGGGATCCAGGGTTCCTCAGACGGGGCTGCCCATGCGGAGTTTTGGGAGCTAGTCAACCCATGGACCTGGGGGCGCAGGGAGGTGGGTTGTCGGGAACCCCTGCTCAGGGGCAAAGAGTGAGATAGGCCACTGAGGCAGATGGGGGAGTCAACCAGAGCTCACCTGAGGGGGTTGCAGGGCCTGGAGCGACCCACACAGGGCCTGGGGCAACTCCCCATTTCAGGTCCTGCTCCTCCCCCCACTGTACCCATCCCCCAAGCCCTGCACTACCTCATCCCTGCCTCCATAATCCCCCATAATCGGCAGGCTGCTGGCCTGCGAGGAAGGTAAGAGAAATGGAGCACGTATCGTCTTGAGGAAAGCAGACAGGAGAGAGACCAGAGAATGGTCTTTCAGGGTGTTATGAAGACGGTGCTGCCACCGCGGGGCCTGGGGGAGTCACCGGGTCCTGCACCCCCATCCTCAGTCACATGTGGCCCTCAGCCATCCGAGTCTGACCCACTCCCAGCCCCTCAGCCAAGCGCCGCCTGCGTCCTTTCTCCTGTTTCCTGGGCAAAGGGGGTAGGAATTACATGGAGGGGGGCAGTTTTCTGGCCTAGTCTTGATCAACACACAGGTGCTTTCAGGCCTCCAGCTCTATACCTCTGTGAGGAAGTGAGGGGTTGTACTCACTCTGTTCGCTTTGGGTACGTCTAGACGGCATTGCTATTTCGGGGTACCGGAAGGATCGCGAAACAGCAACGCTGCATCCAAGGCACACGTCCGCTATTTCGAAAAACAAAATCGAAATAACGGATGTGCTCTTTCGCCATCCCTGTGAGCCTTGTGCTGCGAGGAGGACGGGATGGCTGGAAAGAGCACTTGCTTCCAAAATTTGGCACCGTGCGGATGTGCCAAATTCCGAAATAGCCTCTTTCGAAATTCAATCGAAAAAAGATATGCAAGTTTCCTCCTGGCCGTGGGCCCATTTTTCTCTGGCACGCCGAGGCCCTGCTCTGAGTACGCCGTTTCCAAAGAGGAGCCGGCCCAGGCCTGTGATGGGGCAGGAAGTCACAGGGACAGAGGGACCCGGCTGAGGTTTCACCACGGCCAAGGAGAATTTGGCAGCATTCTTCCACATCACACACATGACCCTCCCCGGTCATACCACAGAAAAGGAGAGTAGCCTTTTTCGCATCTGCGACACGATGCTGAATTGAATCCAGTTTGTGGTCCATCACCATTCTCCTGGAGACCACGGCTCCTCGTTCCAACCTAGACCTCCCCCACTGCAATGTGAGACCTTTGCTCCTCGTTCCAACCTAGACCTCTCCCAGTGCAACGTGAGACCACGGCTCCTCGTTCCAACCTAGACCTCCCCCATTGCAACGTGAGACCACGGCTCCTCGTTCCAACCTAGACCTCCCCCACTGCAATGTGAGACCTTTGCTCCTCGTTCCAACCTAGACCTCTCCCAGT